TAATTCGGAAAGCAGATGGCTCCAGAAATTATGTGCGTGTCATTAGACGCTGATATTTTCGAGTGCTGACTACTCGACTTAGCTCGGGGTGGGGTGGAAGGCGCGCGCAAGTTTGTCTCTGGCCAAGTACGTAATTTCGCGCAGTTCCCCGACGAGGATCAGGGTAAGGAGTTGTCCGTTGTGATGGCCAACGAAGGTAAGTGTGAAATGCATCTGTGATGTGCATAGAACATTGATGTAAATGAGAGGATACTATTAAAATGGATTTTAAATAATGAGAGCGTAGACTGTGTTTATTTGGCATAGTTAGGATGCAGTGGTGGCTGTTGTTAACGAGGTAATGGACATTTTGGTTTAATAAAATTAAATAAATTAGTTTCTAAAGAATTGCCTTGTTCCGTGGAGTTAATTATGCTAGAAAGCTCAGTTGCGTTACTCTATTTAAGTGCATGGAAGTAGACTTAGTACCGAAGGTGGCTGTTTTAGCGAGTCTTGTGTCACACACAGGACGATTTTCGCGGTCCACGTTATTATTCGATGGACATTATCCCTCCCCCCCAAAAGTGGCTGTGTTTACATTTTAGACTACCAAAAATTGTGTGTTGGGTCACTCGCTCCCTTTTCAGGGCTGAGGTTTAGTTTTGAAAATGAGGGCAGTATGTTCCTATAAAACGCTGGTATCCAACCGGCGTTACGAAAGATTAACATGAACATATTTATCGCCGTGATAACCACAAATATCGACTTCCAATTTCTTTGTGGATAGAAAGATGGTGAATTTGACTACTCTTAGCAGGAATAGAACTGAGAACTTCGAGATACAATCTACAGTCACAACACTTCACTCATGTTACACAGCTGATAAAGAAAACACAAGAGGTACAGTTGGTTGGGAATGTTAAATTCCACTTTTGCCTGCAGCGCGGTGCAACGTCTTACCCCTGACAGGTGGTTTTGAATTACCGCTCTCTGAAGTGTGTCTTCATAAAGACGATATTTCTTGGGTGCGATGGAATAAATTCTTCATAAAGACGATATAATATGAAAATAAAGTTATTTAAATTTTCTACCCAAAATGTTTTCCCCAACAGCCTTGTATTGTACTACAGCTTTAAATCAGCCTGTATAAATAGGATGTGACGCTGTGGATTGGGTTCATCTGGCCATTAAATTCTTGTCATCAGTGTCTGGGATCCCTTGGCGTGGTAGCTACCAACAGTATCAACAGTGGTCTGGGATCCCTTGGCGTGGTAGCTACCATCAGTAACAACAGTGGTCCCATATCATGATACATGTCCAAGTTTTTCAACATAGAACTGTGGGCCATACGACTCCGGAACATTTAATTTGGTTTACAAGAGTCTAAGGAACTTATCGCTGTAGATTGGCCACGTTTGTAAGAAACTGCGCGTATCAAGAAAGCCGTGTTCCACTTCAAAACAGCTCTCTCTTTCAGAACGTATATATCGAAGCCCTGGCACTTCTACCATGGTGCATGAACGTCACTTTGGCTCCGGTCACAAAGGAAAGCGACCCACGTACTGTTCTGGTGTGATAATCGATACAAGGATAGATCGATCAGTCTTCCGGGAGGATTCACATGAATGCAGTAGAAATAAAAATCCAAAGGAACGAGTTGTACCAGGAAAAAAAGAATGCCTATTGCAGAAGATGCCCTGATGTCAGATGAACCCGATTTACAATTCCACATCATATTTATTGTAAAGATCGATATCAATATTATGATCCATCCATCGTGGTTTCTTCCATTCAAGGTTTACTAATAAAATTTATCATCCCTGTGTATTGTCCATCTCATATTCGATTTCATCACCAAAACATTTTAATTAGGAGCAGAAAGCCTGATTCTACTCTTTTGTGTTTTTCTCTGGCCACGTGTTGTTTTCTGTTAGGTCCGCGTATTATTACGACCCTATTCTCAGGGATTCTCTGGTCCACATCCATGCAGTTATTCATTCGTGTCTAGATGAGAGACGGGAAGGTTGAAAATTCTCAACTGACGACGAGGCGTCTGTAAGAATATAAAGTCTTAAGCTTTCACAACTGAATTCTAGAAGATCTCGGTCCACGTACCACGTCAACGTTTCGGAGACTATTTCGAAACGTTGGTATTTTGCCCACAACTGACACAACTTGTTGGCCGAGAAGATTTGGGTGAATTTTCCTTGTGGGATTAACTATCCGTTGCATCAGACAGCAACTTAACGTGTACAACAGATAGATTCCATTTGTTTAAAGTCTTGATACCAAACGAGAAGCCTCGAAGCCTAGAGCAGGCAGTTCAACAGATAGATTCCATTTGTTTAAAGTCCCATTTCCTGGTGCCGACCGGGACATAGATGATTCCAAGCAAGAAGCTTCAAAGCCTAGAGCAGGCAGTTGTGATCACTCATTAGTGAGTGACACTGCCCTCAGTGGACGATTGTGTCCGTCCCGATGACTGCTCCCCGCCCTGCGAGGGGCCTCGGTTCTCTATGGAGAGTACGTCCTAATACCAGGTGACAGACGTAGCCTTTCGAAGACTTTAATTAACAAAGGAGTATAAGATGTTCTTTGAGTTAACGCGAACCATTGCGTGGTTTCGTGGTCTAGACGCCCGTACGTTGAATAAATCGATAAGACGTCCACTCAAACACATAAGCTCTGTTATTATCGCACTGAAAACAGAGCCAGGACCTGTTATTGATCACCAATATCATGAATATTGTAACCCTCTGACATTTCCGGTAAATGGTCTTCAACATACTTCCGTCCTCGTACAAATACGCTAGTCACACGCCCCTACATTCAAAGATGTTACCTTTTGGCGAAGGCAGAGGGCCGCTTTATCAGTCGGGTAAATTGGTCAGCTCCCAAGGAC